TCTCAAAACTGAACACAGTCACAGATCTCGGGATAACATACTCAGATTTATCCTTTTCCGATCATGCAAATAAGGTTGTATCTGACTGTAAACGACTTACTGGCTTTGTACTGCGTAACTTCTACACCCAAGAAGCAAGATTAGCTATATATAGGACATGTATCCGTCCCAAACTTGAATATTGTGCTCTCCTATTTAGTAACCTCAGGACTGTAGACAGAAAAAAATCGAAAGTGTCCAGAGATTCCTCACGAAACGCATAATAGGGTTCGACCAACAAGTGGAATATGTTGACAGGTGTGTACGTCTGAAATTAGAGCCTCTGTGGTTAAGGAGAGTGAAGTGCAACCTATTTCTACTCTTCAAAGTCATTAGGAAACACTGCTACAGTAACTCATCCATAACTTGGGAAAATATTAAATCATATCAGCTGCGAAACCACGACTACCTTGTCAAGGTGGCTACCCACAGAAAATCCATTAGGGCAAACTTTTTCACCATAAAATATTGCACTCTTTGGAACCAACTACCACCTGAAATAAGATGTTGTGAAAACCCTGATGGGTTCAAACGGAGCCTAGAAAGACACTTTAACATGTCCACCCTAGCTCGTCTAAAAGACCACAACTGTTGGTAGAACGGAAATTGAAGGCCAGTCCAGTCTTCAGTATAGTCACATACGTATATCTCGACTCTAATACTCACGCAGCGAACGTTAACTAATTTACTGATTTCTATTCTCTATAATTTTCACTAAGTTGTGTTGGTAAAAGTAACACTGGAAATAATTGTAATAGCATCCACACCTTTTAACGTTTTACATATGTATATACTAATATAATAATACTTATTAATCATGCATGTTCAATTCTTAAATTAGATGGATATTAAAATACTTAAAATATTTATGCATCAAATGTTCTCTTGCTTTACCACGCTTGTTTCCCTTATAACACTCAATTATTGAACCTAGTGTAATATTTGATATACGAACTATATTATTGATTATACTCTTATCATATATGGTTTGATTTACTCTACGGCTCCCTGTAGACTAACCACCATTCTTCAGTATACACACACTGCAGTATTGTTAAACAAATGCCAAAATTTCGTTGGTTCTGTGTTAATATCTTTTTATAATATGTCTAGACACGTTACTTTGCAATGTCAGATGTTTACTATATATAAGTACACTAAGTCCTGCCAACCGACCTTACCTTCAGTCCATACTACCTAAATTGAACCTTAACTATAGTATTCTGCTAAATCTTGCTCCACTATTCACAATACCTATTCGTTTTACTCTTTAAGGTTTTAACTTCTTATAAAGTAATCTGTTCATCAGGATGCATGCACACATATATAATATGTTCGTAAAGATGTACGTGGAGACCTATTGGAAGCACTCATTAAGAAAGCTAGGGAGATGGAATATGGGGTACGAACATGTCTGGTACCAAGCAATATATTTGCGGTAGCCATAATAATCATAGTCTCAGAGCCTAACATCAAAAAAGGAGGGAGGGTGGCGCTAGCTGATCAGTAGATATGGTGGTGGTCACTAAGGTGAATCGCCCCATTCTGCAGGAACAGCAATATACAAATTAAAGGCTCGAGATATTTCTGATTTTTATGAGGGCTTAGATCTTTATCTTGAAAAAGATAATAGTGAACGCCTTGACAGATCATGCTTCTACCTTTAAATATATACCATTCGCTCAGCCTATTGTTGAGATGCGACCACGTGGGATCTGCACAGATTTATGGGGCATCTTATAAATTAACTTGCTATCCATTGTCAGATCTTTAAATACCACTTCACAATATCTTGTCTCACTTATTTTCTAATAACGTCTTTACTTGATCCTCATTATATTCCATTAAACCTAACATTTTATAGCTCTTTATGAATTTGATTCGACTTATTCTATTCCTATTCTCTGGAGGGTACGGTTGTGCACCAAATAGACAAAAAGACATGAAATAAAAACAACTGGCTTGAAAATAATTGTATTAAAGCCAAAAGTGGACATCATGATAGTATAAAATATATTGGTTTCATTATACATTGCAAATGAACGTTGTCGGCCTAAGGATTAATTACTTCCCCATTCTGTTTTCTATATAAATGTGTTTATTAATGATATATTTCACTCACTTAATCTATTACACTTTAATGTTTCACCTTAGCACTTTAACTTTTCTAAAACAGCTTCCAATCCCTTGTAAACGTTGTACTTACCTCAATATTGGTTGGTTATCGTATGCCTACAACCACGGGATGAAAACGAAACGAAGTCGATTTTCCCGCTCAACCTGGAGGACAACTGTACAATTCAATAACTATACGGCCTGGTTCAGACAATGAGTGTAATTATATATATTATCAAATATTTAACTGTTGAAACATTATTAACTTGTAGACAATTTAAGATTTGACATTATATCATCCTTGATCGTGCCTGTAAAAATGGCATGCATTTTCATGTAAATTTATGTTTATATGAAAATAAAATTATTATTATTACTAGACACCATAAAGCTTTCTCGATATCCACTTCTCTGAGACCCTTTCGTCATAAATGATTGCGTTTTGCTCTATTACTTCTCTACTCCAGATTTGGGATGCAATATAATGGCAAACTTGCTCCAAGCTTGGTTGACACTTTCTTTTGCCATTTTCAGTATACCATCGAACTTTGGCTCAATACCTTCATCCTCTATACGAGAGCCTTCTTCACCCACCTCCTTTGCAGTGGAGTAGGTAGGCGACTCGCTATTACCTCTAGGACGGAACTTGAGTTCAGATCTCTAATGCAATTCATCGAAATCAACGTATTCTTGTAAGTCATCAGATCATCCAAAAACTCGGAGAGTGCCTTGGAGTTATCTCGTGATTGGCTACCGTTGCCTTTAACAGCCTCGAATACGTTCCTTACAATCACCGAAGGTCTTCCAAACCTTTGGCTCAGGATACGCATCTCCTCAGTTTATGCTTCGTTTTGGGGAATTAACCTTAACACACTGTATGGCTTTTGCAGCAACTTCTGTGCAGTACCTCGACAAATACATTACCTTCATTTCATCATTTAATAAAAAACCACTCGGCGTATTCTCAAACTCTATGATGAGCTCTCGATAGTCCGCTGGGTTTCCATCAATGTACCCAGGCTCGATTTTAGGTTACTCTAAACCCTTACTATTCCTAAACGTCGAACCATGAACAACAGCTTCATCATGCTGAGCTTCATACATATCATTACAATAAACAGGCAACTCAGAATTACTTACTTTCCTGCTTGCTTCCAAGACGTTTTGTCCATTCTTTGACCCAGGCATCACTGAACTTGACCAAAAAATCCGGAAAAGTTCCAGATAACACTTGTCCAAAGAAGACTTGGAGACACGAGGAAAGACGAACAGAAACTATCAGAAACTGTCACTCAACTCTCAGAAACTTTTAATGTCCAGCTCTTACTACGCTGGACCTCACGCTGTCCCTCGAAGACTTTCAGAAACAATTTGTAATAACCAACGCGAAAAACCAGAACACTGATTAGCGACTCGAGAATCCTTTATTCTATGCAACCAACAATAAGGTTATTATACACAAGGTCTAAGAATAAATGTAACAATAAATCACGATAATACTTCTGATAGTTTTCTGTCTTCCATCGAACAGCGAACGATGAGACTATGACTGCAGGATTGACAGTTTTCCACATTGATCTGCTCAAGATTCGTGGTTTGAACGGTTTGGGATTCTGTGGAAGTTCTTACTACGCACAAGTGGTTTTCGTGCCAAATGACTTCAATTTGTTTGGTGATACTATTGGGTCAGATGCGCTGTGGGTGTATATGGTCTGTTTTTATTTTACTTGGATGAGGACACAATTTATTTTATGGACACCGAGCGTTAACTGCGACATCTTCATTGATTACAATTCTCAGTTGTTCGGGATGACGTCCTGGGACACTTATTCGCATGATCTTAGAACCTACGTAAGAAACGCCAATCCAGCACAACTATTCTTCATCGCAGACGGCTCCGTTTACATGCATACGTTGAAATGAGACAAACCAGTTTACGGTACTTTGAAGAGCCTGGAACTCCGAAGTGATGCAGTCATTGGCCTTCGATTGTTTTGCAAGTGGTTTGGAGGGTGTTTTTGCTGCATTCTGTGACCTAACTTGTGCAAAATGGACGGTCATGAGTTACTTCATGGTTGCGAGTGTTTATCAGTTTGCATTTCCCATGCGCGTTTTTTTCGCGTCAACTGTCCAGGGTGTTTTCCACGTAACCTCTGTATTTTGTAGACTACTATGACACTTCTGAGGCTTCAGGTGCAGTCCAGTTTGACTAATAGCTGAGTCACCGCAATTTCCGAATAATCGGTGAGGAAGTTTCACAATGAGATGGTAGCTACATTTGGGGTTCCAAATTGAAGGCATTTTCTATGCCCGCACTATTGTTTTTTATCTAGTGGTAGTGGCACGTGAGACGGTGTTCTGTCGCTGTTCGCATTCCACTCAATTCAGTCATGTTTCAACGCAAGCATCGACCAACCAATCTTTATTACGCCACATAACACAACACATGAGTAATATTAAAATATCAATCTCACCCGTTACAAGATATTATGTCAAACATGTATGTCACTAATCACAATGGAGAGGATTTAAGAACTATCTGGTTGCAGTGACGAAAACTACCTTAACTACTCTGTTTAACACGAGTTTATATGATATGACAAGAAGTGTTTTGATATGATTGTCTGGATGAGGTTTTTGGCACAACTAATAGTTCATAGTATAGAGTTGATAATGAGCATTAAGTTGTGCTCTAAAGGTTATAGGAAATGAGAATTCCTATCAACCCAGGAAACATATACCACAATTTTTTTTAAATTATTGACAAAAAATCTGCCGAGCTAAATTTCAACCAATATGCCGGGTAAGTCCAGCCATGAAATGGTATTGGAAATTGGATTGTATGTATGCAGAGCGTCAGTTGATGTTGTGCGTTGCGCATCAGCATGGTGGTTTTTGTGTGCACACAGTGTAATGCCACATTAAAAAAGTCTGCAGTAAAAAATCATCTATCTTTTAAGAAGTGTACTACTGTATCATGTGTGGATTGTCACAAAGACTTTGAGTAAGTTTGCGAAAAAATTAGTCCAAATAGTGTTAAACTTAATTAATGGTAGTAAAAACTCAGTGGAATCTCACTGCTTCTGTATTTCTGAAAAGGAGAAGTATGACAAGCCAAGGTTCAAAGAGTCATCAAAAGGCAACAAGGTGTGTACGCAATCAGAATGGATCATGAAAATCGAAGATTTAATTAAAAATTGTCAATCGACAAACCACAAGAGACTTCTTGAAAATTTACGGGGTTGTCACAATATACCTAAAAAGAAGAATAAATTCGAGGTATGTTTCTTATCTGAGTGTGATAGACTGCATAGAACTTCATGAAATCGAAATATCGTGGTATACCACCGCAAACCATTGACGAGATATGGAAATTATTAGAGTCCGTAAAACCAGTGCCTAAAAACACTGTCCCATCGTTGTCACAGGAGAATGTATCTGTTGAGGAACCGAAGTCTAAAAGACAGAAGGTAGATGGTAAGTTCTGCTTGCCGTTACTATAACCTATCAAATTTCAGTTAATGGATATCATTTCCAGTTGTCTGTACAACATATACAGCATATCTTAACAGAATTCGGCGGTAAAGCACCTTTCAGCGATGTGAGGAAAATGGTGAGTGTCCAAACACCCTCTGATTTAAAACTTCTGTTTTTAATTCGTTAGTACATGGTCTCGAAGTGTATTTTTGTGGTTTCTCATTGCTACTCATTAAAAATCATTCTCATCAAACGGTAATGCCTCGACAATCAGTCACATCGTACTCAGTGAACGAACGGTGTATAAATACACAAAAATAAGATGTTCACTTGCGGAAGCTTCGTATTCTGATTCCCATAAATAAGCCACGTGCGAACACTTCACAAAAGGGTACGATAATTTTTAAAATTTTTTCTTGTTGTTATTTGGGATATGTACTTACACCAAAATAATATCTTAAAATGCCCCTAGAAAGTCAGATCTTCAGATTTTCGTGCAGTGGGATATGCTGTTTTATGACTGGACCCAAAATGCAAATTTACTTGAAATTTAAGGTGGGGATTAGAGTACCTGAAGTTAGTGTCAAAAACAACACTTATGCTCAGGCATGGACATCTTTCCACTGTTGATTTCCCCGTCTTTCTATTGAAGTCCTGTAGAGGATTTACTACTCGTATATACTCATTGCTTAAAGATCTGCATAGTTGCCAACATTTCCGATGTTTTAGAAATAACGTAATAAAACTGGCTATTCAATCTCTTATAACTTTTTGTAGCTTCTTTTTAAAAAAAAGTTTACAGAAACGACCAATTTAGTATTAGCCAAGTGAAATGTAACTAGCTATCACTTAAGTTGTTCTTACGAAGTTCTTTTCCAGGTAACTGTTTGTCTGTCCGTTTTTAACATAGAACTTTACACCGATGTGCGGCAGTTCCAATCGCCACACTCCATGTAGCACACAAAGCAAGATAAGAAAGTAGAAGAAATGCATAATAGAGACAGTAAACAGAGGTGTGAGACAAAGGAATGGTAATAACGAAGAACAATATAGTTTCATTGGGAATCACAAGTCACAAGGGGTGGATGCATCTGCACCAGCCATTGAGAACAACCACTTTGAGCCATATCACCAATTGTTTCCAACCATTGGTTCTCACCGTCCCGAGGACCCCAACGAGTCAGGAAGTCTACACCCTCCTACGTGACTTAGACTAGCAGTTGTAGATTTCATTGACTGGTGCCATGTTTTGGTTTGACCTCCTCTAGCTCTTTTCCAGCCTGATCCTATATCAGCTAACATTGCCCGTGGAGGAAGGCGATGACTAGGCATACGTAACACGTGTCCTAACCACGTAACGGTCTGTTATCAATTTTCTTAGTGATCCAAGTCCTAAATGTATGACTAAAGTTAAAGGTTATGCAATTGTCTTGCCCAAAACAAGAGAAGTAAGTTATGCGCTCTTAATTCACCCTCAGTTTTATAAGGTTCCCCGTCATGGAAAATCAGGTATATATATATATATAATATATATATATATATAACTACTACTCGATGTACAGTTAATCTGATAAGATAGCATTGAAATGCATCTTAAATGTTGCGTATTACTCTAGAGATATACATCGTGGTCTGCTGTTTGTTTATTTTTGATTTGCACGCATTATAGGTGAGTTCAAAGGGAACTACTTTTTGAAATGCCAAAAGGTATACAACTCAAGTAGCTTACTTGTTATGGAAATATTTCTTTGAAAAGTAGCGGCTTCTATGAATAACTGGTTCCATCCCTTTTTTAATTTTGAGGAATTGTCCACAGGGTGTGACTCGGTAGGATCTAGGTTACCATGAAATTTATCCGTAGGACTTCAGTAACCTTGATTCAAATCCTCTTCACTGGTGCAAACTTTGTCGCATCTATCGAAGTCTGAGTAGCCAACTGGTGAACTCAATCCCAACATAATAATAACTTGTTTCGTATGTGACGCTTAACATAATGAAATGGTCTTTTCTGTTATTAGTCGCCCTCCTTTTAAAGTCAACGCAACTACTCTTCTCCCAAAATGTTGATGGTATTGTTTATCTCGCTGAAATACCGGTCTACAAGTTAATCCAACATTTAAATGTCGCTTCTTCGAGCTTGATCTATTTTCATATATTTGTCTGTACATTTTGGATGAAAATTTTAAATAAACACGTAATTCTGAGAAGTATTTGAAGTAGTGTAATGTAAAATCACCATTACACTGGCTGTAATAACATGCTGATTATTGTTAACTGGTAATGTTAAGAAACAGGCGCCAATTAAACTTTCCTCATCTGAATATGCGATATTTGGCTTTATTCTATGATAATTACTTATTTTTACCTACAGATGTACAGTACATACAAAGCTTCAGTGTCTTCTCCTGAGGAATGCATAACAAAAAAGGAATTCAAAGCTAATCTGTTAAATTTCATTCAAAACTCCGAGAACATAGTTTATTCACCTGCTGACGGAACAATCAGTACAACTACAAAAGGCGTTCTTCCTCAAACACATGTTGGTGAGTGATTGGTTTTGTTTAACGGAATCATAGATTCAACTCGGACTTCAAGCTCTCAATCCCATCAAGTCAAAGAAGTTCCCGTTGACGAAGCTGATCAAGTACACAAGTCCAAGAGCATGAAAAAGTTACTAAATACAATAGTACAGGAAGTCGGTGGACGAATTTCACTGAAGAAGCTTGTTAAAAAGGTGAGATCAATAGGTTTCAGGCGGTATAACTTTTCGTGTTTCTCATTCATGATATAGCTGTGGTTAATTCAGTCATTTGTTTCATTTGTAATAAGATTTCACAAGGGAAAAATACTTGAATACATGAAAAAAATCGATAGTCCAGTGTTATAATCAATGGACCAACATGGAACACTATATAGAAAAACCTTAAAAAAGAAGACAACGGGCATTGCATTAGAGAAACGTAGGTGTAGGAAAAAGAAAACAGGTAGACAACATTAGGTAAAGAATTCAGAATTTCGAAAGTAAGAAATATGTGTGTTTGCACCAATGTAAGCGAGTCTCCCATCGGAATTCTTGACGTTTGAGGACTAACCAGTCAGCCAGCATATCAACTTGAGTTTTAGCTCATTGGTTTGTCACCTAATGGACTTATGCCTGTTTCAGTCCGCAATCTACTATATAGTTTTGTTGTTCGGTGTAATAGTGGCTATCTGTGAAATCCCAGATACGTATTTCGTTCTATTTGGGAGTGGTCAACTAGATGTACATGCGTCCCTAGTAGCTGGTAATGATGCCATCGTTTCGAGCGACAAGGCGTTATCTATTGGACAACGAGAGATACTCGTTTCGAGACGGGTGTTAATTGATTTTCGCTGAAATTATTTTAAATTTAATTGGGCCGAAACCTAAAGTCTTTTCAGACATGGGATCATGCGTAAACTTGAAACATGTCTTATACCACTGTTAATCGTTGATAGATAAGTTCAGTAACACGAAAGACAAATGCGCAGTTGTTTTATTAAAAATCTGTAAGTTGTGTCTTCATTTTACATGTCTTATACCTTAGCCGATATGAAAGCCTAGTTTTATGCTTCAACATTTATGCAAAGTTGTTTACATTTCAAACTTTATTGTTTTCATTATTCATTCAAGCCATTGGAAAAATTGCCTAGTTGTTTAGAAGAACCATCTTTTAATTAATTGTTTAAGTATAAATATGTGTACAGTAGTACATCACTTAGCAATTGGTGGTGTTTTGTTTGAAATAATTTATTTGCCTTTCGTGCCCTTCCTCAGGGAAAGTTCAAATCAGTATACCAAATGAAATGTTGGTAGTGCTTATTTCAGTTTCATTGAGATTTAAACAATTGTAATTTTTCTTTACATGTCTACGTTTCACTCAGCTCTCCAATTATAATGGAACTGTTCAATCAAGTCTTGATCTGAGTTCGTGTAAATGTATGTGTTCTGCCTTCGATTCGTTGGACAGAACTGTCTGTTAGAGAGAGGTTTACCTGAGAAATTTGTTAACATCTTGAAAGTCCTATAAAGAAACACCGGGTAGAGTGAGGGTATACAACCAACTATCGTCACTGTTCCCAACCAACAGGGGGGTCAGACAGGGTTGCCCAATCTCTCCATTTCTCTTTAACTTTGCCATCGATGACATTCTGGAGTCAGCTCTGTAGGATGTGCGTGAAGGTGGTGTAAATCTGCTACCTGGAGATAGACTTTTCGACCTCGAGTATGCAGACGATATCGTCTTACTGTGCGATAACATGCAGACTGCCCAAATCGCACTTAATCAGTTGGTGATCAGTGTCTGTAAGTATGGTATGTGGTTTGCGCCGTCTAAGTGCAAAGTACTCTTACAAGATTGGCAGGAGCCTGTACCTGCACTCACTATTTCGGGTGAACCGCTTGAAGTTGTTGATAAGTTTGTGTACCTGAGTAGTTTTGTGAGTGCTGGCGGAGGGGTGACGGATGAGATTTCCAACCATATAATGAAGGCTAGGGTGGCATACATCAACTTGAGTCACCTATGGCGCCGTCGCGATGTTAGCCTGGCTGTCAAAGGTCGGGTATACAATGCTTCGGTGCGGGCTGTCTTGCTCTACGCCTGTGAAACCTGACCTCTTCGAGTAGGCTGAGGATGTTCGGCGACTCTGCGTGTTCGATCATCGCTGTCTCCACAGGATTGCTTGCGTTCGATGGCATCATCGCGTGAGTAATTCTGAGGTTCGGCGGCGTGTGTTTGAACACTGGAGATCACCATTCATTGAATGTCGTCATCTGAAAACACCGGCTCCGGTGGCTTGGACATGTGCTGCGAATGTCACCCCAGAGGCTTCCGTAAAGGTCTCTGTTCGCTAGCCCTGGGACGGTATGGAAAGGGCGGAGAGGTGGTCAGTTCATGACGTGGCGTCGTGGGATGAGGGATTTTTGTGCTAGATTAGCATCGGTTGGTGTGTCACGACTCCCTGGTTGGAGTCCGAGAGATAGCTCAAATCGATGGTTCGAAACGCTATCGGATATGGTCAAGAATCGTAAACAATGGCGAACGTGTTGCAATTTCCTTCTTTCTTCCCTTCCCGATGATAGTTAACGAACACTGTTTGAATTAGTTAAGCATGACTGTTTTCCTTCCAGATGAAGTTCTTTATCTGTTCTCTACTTATATATATATATATATTTCTTTTCCTTCTGATCTATGTTGTTTTATTATTATTGTGTAGCGCATCCTTCTTGGTGCCATATTGTACCAAGTTTTTATGCGTTTAAATAAATAAATGTGTCTATCATTACTTAACAGCATTTACATGTAAATAGAGCTGACGTCTTTGATGTCACACAAAATCGAAGACTTACAAGCGAAAACTGACAAACTGGTCGAAGGAGCAGCAAAGACGACTCCAGGTGAACATAGACAAGACGGAGATTATGAAAATAACCAACCAATAACAACAACAGCAGCAACATCCAGCACCAATCACCATCAACGGGAGGAATTTGAAAGAGGTTACTTCATTCACTTATCTAGGGAGCATTGTCTCAACTACAGGGGGAACGGACGAGGATGTCAAATCGAGCGAGAATCGGGAAGGCTAGCGAGAAACACATTCATCAACCTGAGACCAATCTGGAAATCTTCGTCACTCAGCCAGCATCAACAACAAAATTCGGCCGGATTTTCAATACAAACGTCAAGTCGGTTAGTTCTTCTATACGAATCAGAAACTTGACGGGCGGGTCACAAAGAATACTTCCAACAGCCTGTTGCAGACCTTCATCAACCAACAACTGTCTTCGCTGGCTCTATACTGAAGATGAGATGGCCGGGGGCCGGAAAAAATCACCAACAAGAAACTGTGGGAAGAAACAAAACAAAAACCAATCAATCGCCCAACAAATATGCAGGAGAAAGTGGAGATGGATTGAACACTCGCTCGCTGAAGAGGCCGCTGGGTGACATCGCGCGCGCGTCAGGCCATTGCTCGAGTGGAACCAGGCCGAAACGGAAGCGGCGAGTGGGACGTCAGTGGAAGGGTGACATGGAGGAGACCGTGTGAAGAGGAGTTGGAACAGTATGGACTAACATGGATGCAGGTGAAAAGTACAGCAGAAGGAAGACAGAAGTGGCAAGTGGAGACGTGCAGTTGAAGCCCTATGTTCCACTAGGAACCCAAGGGAACAATAATAATAATAAAGCTGACAGCCTACGTTTAAGCCTATATCAAAAGAGACTGAAGATTTCATTCCAATGAAATTCAAGTTTCAAAAAATAACAGCTAGTACCCGTCGCTACTGACATTTTTACTGTGAGGAAAGTTTTTTTAATGTATTAATTGGGTTGTCTGATTTTCGGAGTAGTTACTACCAACGTCAGTGAAAGTAAACTTAGAGAGTTGAAATACTGTTTTATTTAGAGCTTTCCATTCAGGTATTCCTGCTGTAATAATTTGAATTCTAAATGCTCGTAGAATTCTCTTGAAGATGGAGGTATTCGTAGTCGAAATAAAGATCTGAATTATTTGCGAAACGGTTCAAGTAGAATATTTTACTTCAAAACAAAAAGTGTAGAGGTTAACAAGTAAGAAAATCGTGTCGTTAGTCAGAAATTTAAGTGAGAAAAATATTTCCGAGAGTTTATTTGTTAGAATTTGATTTTTTTTCAAGTTTATTCGGGGATTGACATGAGTTAGTGAAGGACTGGAAACCAGGTAGTACTGGACAGTTGTCCCGTCCATCTAGGGACTCATCAGTTACGAGTTGTTCCTGGATCTCTGGTGGGAAGTCGTGACCAGCGGGTTCCGCCCGGTGGGGAGTAAGGACGAATACTCGCCACGGATGACATTGGCTGGTGGTCGTGGTAAAATCATCACAAATCGATAAGAGTTAGTATTCATTGGCCATTGAGTCGGATCCCAGTGGTTGAATGGTCTATGAGCTTGCTTTGTAACCGGAAGGTCCTGGGTTCGAAGCTTTGGTGGATGCTTACTGATTATGAAACCCAAACTGAGACAAAACAACTGTCTAGTACTTCCTGATTTTCTATGGTTCTCTAAATGACATCAATGCGTGGTCAAACTTGAGATAAAAATTACTAAGACAGTAATTTACATTTCAAACTACCCTAAAAACGTTAACTTCTGTAACCGATTCATTTTCTTGTCAGTTGAAAAGTTGTATTCACCGATTTCTTTTTCTTATTTCTCTCGTCTATCCACAGATCTATACACAAACTTTAGATCCAGATGGTCAAAACACAACCTATTGTACTAAAGATGAACTGAAAAATGAAATTGTGCGTAAAATTAATAAAAGTAAATCTGTTAAACTTTCAGAGGACGGTAAACTGGTTGAACTCTGTACATAGAATCATGTATATAATATTTTGTATAAAATTATTTATATCTACTTATTTATTTCAGTCACCCTTTATTCTTTTGATACACACCAAGGTGGCATTAAACTCTAGTTTAATTTAAGGTTGTCGAAGAATGTATGGGTTATTTTCAGCACCATAGGCTAATATCCCTGTTACAGCTGTCACTTCTCCGTCTTTTGCTTGTCTGTCTGTTTGTTTCCGACATAGAACTTTGCACATATGTGCAGCAGTTCAAGTCGCCACACTCCATGTAGCACACAAAGCAAGATAAGAAAGTAGAAGAAATGCGTATTAGAGACAGTAAACAGAGGTGTGAGACAAAGGAATGGTAATAACGAAGAACAATATAGTTTCATTGGGAATCACAAGTCACAAGGAGTGGATGCATCTGCACCAGCCATTGAGAACAACCACTTTGAGCCATATCACCAATTGTTTCCAACCATTGGTTCTCACCGTCCCGATGACCCCAACCCGGAAGCCAGTCTTTGTACGTGGCTTAAACTAACTGTTGTGGGTTTCATTGACTGGTGCCATGTTTTGGTTTGACCTCCACCAGCTCTTTTCCAGCCTGACCCTATATCAGCTAACATTGCCCGTGGAGGAAGGCGATGACTAGGCATACGTAACATGTCCTAACCATCTGAGTCGATGTAACTTCACAACCTCGTCGACTGATTTCCCCTGTTTACCTAGCACTTGACGCCTAACCTCAATATTGCTCACCTTATTATACCACTTCACACGGGAGATAGAGCACAGGCAACTATGATCAAACACAGCTAATCTTTTCATGTCTTCGACTCTCAATGGCCACGTCTCGCAGCCATAAAGGAGGACGGAGCGAACTACTGAGCAGTACACCCGCCCTTTGGTCGATAGTCGGATATCACATCTATGCTAGAGCCGGCGTAAACTGACTTGCGAAAATAGCCCTCTGTATCCGTGCTGAGATTTTGTCAGAGATCAACCCGTTGGTACTGGCTGATGGCACTTCCCAAGTAAGTGAAGCGGTCAACGTGCTCTACCACTTCACTACCTATTTCTAAACTAGGAGTCAGTGTGGTCCAGTCCGGTAACATCATCTTGCATTTGGCGGGAGCGAATCGCATGCCAAACATTCGTAGATTGCGGCTCAAGGTGTTTAGAAGACTCTGCATTTCGTCAGCGTCTTCGCCTAGAAGGACTATATCGTCTGCATATTCCAAGTCAGCGGGATTATTCCCTGGTAGCAAGTCAATCCCTGAGTCTCTGAAGTGAGTTAGGGTTAAATCCATTAGTACGTCTATGATGAAATTGAATACGAATGGGGATAATGGGCATCTATGACGGACGCCACTAGTCGTCACCACTTCAGATAAAAACTCGCCGTAAGCCCTCACCTGGCTGCATGAGTTCGTGTAGAGTGCCTTGATCATTTCTTTTGCCTAGAGTATACTGAGTGATACATTAAGCCGTAACACAGTATACATTACCGGGTGCTTAGCACATGAATTCGCATTCGGTTAATGAATTACATTTAAATGTTCATGATGACAGACGTTTAAACAGTATGATTATTGGTGGGTTATAAATGATGAACACTATTAGTCATCAGTATCTCAGTTTTTTGATGTGCTTAATTAAATCGGAGATAATTTCGGCATAGATGAAACATGTATCTACTGTAATTATTTTTATCTTGGGGATTTAAAATGGTTATCTAATTCTGAATAGGGCGAGAACAACAGTTTGTGCAAAATTTTCGTTAACTTCTCATCAGCTGCGTACGGCCTAAAGAAACCATTAAGTATATGCACAGAGTTTGACCATACTTGCAAATGTTATATGAAGTCAGCTGACGGGAGGCCCTAAAATTAATAAACGCTTCTGTAGTGATTACCCAGAGTTATGTAGTATGAAGTAAAGGACCCAATGCTAACCCCATTGCTACTCCATCTCTTCGTCAATAAATCGTGTTGTTGAACTTGAATTGGACATTCGGAGTGCACCTCGAAAGTAGTTCCTTTAAGTAGTGGATCGGAAGATATACGTCTACATTATTATCCTCAATGAATTTTCATATAAACCAGATAGTTTCAGTGAGGGGAACGTTGGTGAAAAGCGAAGTAACATCCACAGATATCATTTTCTTCCCGGATACATTAGCATCACTTATTGAATCGACGAATTCAAACGAATCAGAAACACTATGCTTGCAGAGGTTATTTTAGATAGGTAGGACGATTTCTGTGAGCCATTTGGCAGTGGGGAATTTGTCATATCCAAGATTGGACGTAGTGACACGTTCACAAAGAGATAGAGTAGCAATGGGGTCCTTTACTTGCAGACTGCTTCTTGGCTAGTTTGGAGAATAGTATTTTACGGCCTAATATCGACAGTTTCCATCTGTACCAAAGATACATGGATGATACTTTCATCATATGTGATGACAATACCGACATCGAATTGATAACTAAGGAGTTCAACAGCTGCCATCATGTCATCAAGTTCACGTTGGAATCAGAGATTAACTAGGAATTCCATTTTTTGGATGTTTTTCTAAAGAGGAGATCTTATGGTTCTCTTCAAAGATCGATCCACAGGAAACCAACATGGAATGCTCAGTACACAAATTTCCATAGCTGGGTCCCTTTGAGAAGAAAGAGAAATCTTATCCATTCCTTATCCTCAAGAATAAGGAGGATGTGTTCAAGTGATACAATCGATGGGGAACTGGAGCGACTCAGACAAGTTCTCATAGAGAATGGATATCCTCCAAGATTTATCGAGAAAAACATGAAGTTAAGGGGAAAGCCTGAAAGAATCCAGACGGTGTCGAAGAAACTGCCCTTTATGAGTGTTGAATTTAAAGGTGATACCGCAGCCGAGATCCTGAAGAATCGCTTATGCAGATTACTGAGGAAAGCCTTCTTTATGGCTGAGCTACGTATCAATTTCTACAGTCGACAAACGATCAAGGGATGTGTGAAGGATAAACTGCCTCTTTGGGCCACCTCAGTGTGTGTTTATAAATTCACCTGCTCGTGTGGAGCTAGTTATATTGGCCACACAAAGCGCACGCTTTCCAAACGCATCTCTCAACATTATCCGGCATGGTTAGCGAAGGGACAATGCAAGACAATTACTAGCTCAATTCTCGAGCATTTGGTGAACTCAGATCACGTAGCTGCACCAGAGTCGTCTTTCAAGATCATCTACAAAGTGAAGCCAAATTGTACAAAGGGCGTCAGGTTTTGGCTTTTGTGTATGACGGAGGCGCTGGCAATTCATCAATACAACCCTGAACTCTGTATACAGCAAAAGGTTGTCCAGTCTCTTATTCTACCTTGGTCTTAACCTCTTCACTAATCGTTCCCTGTAAAAAATTTTGATTTTTTCTTGTGTTTTTAATTTTACTTTTAGTTTGCTTTTGCTTTAATAGTTAATTCACTATTATCAATCTAATATGCTCCTTTTGTATGTTTTCACACCCTCTTCACACTTGTTAAATTGACACTCAAATACCTTTATTCTCACTCAAGAGCAATTTTAGCCTTATCAAACTTCTATCTTTGTGCCGTTGAGTGCCATGTAATTTACAACTTTTCATTTTCATTTCTAAAGCCACTTATGATTAATTATATCAATTATGTCACCCCCTATTACTCAATAATAGACCACTATATATTTTTCTAAGTATAAATACGACTGTACAGCCTCTGAAGATGATTTCGTCGATAAAGAAAATTTTCTTCGCTGAATCTATCTTTTATTTTCTTCATGACTCAATTGGTATTTTCCGTGATTTCGATGATTTGATGAAGTATTTCGCGATGTCCACCTCATGACCCGTATTGATGAGGTGTTTGACTGTAGTACTATTGTATGCATTTGCTCCCTTGAGACGTAGGCTTTTGGGTACACATTCATAAAATCGGAGTTGTGCCTTTCTCTTTGTTCTCCCAATGTAACTGCTCCCACATACACATGCTAATTTGTATACACAGTTGGATTTAACATGAGAAGCGTGTCTGTCGACTTTTGTTTGCACCAAATGGTATGGTGCAAACTTAGCTGCAGGATAAATTCTGGCTAGGGATGTATTCAATCTTCCGTTTACTATTCCGTTAAGATCGAGTTGAATAAAGACAGATTTTTTCCCGCCGCCATCGGTTTTTTATATCAGCCTTCACACCTTCCGTACTTGTTAGTGAATTTCTGAGGGTAACCGTTGTTCTTCAACATCTTTTCGGCAATCGGAGATTCTTCCTCTAAATTGCCTGTAGAGCATATTCGCCTGACTCTGTAGAACAGAGTTTTTACTAGTGCTCATTTATAACTATTTGGACAAAAAAAATATTAAGATGTAAGCACTGTCTATTCCATGGTGACTTTCAGTATATTACCTTCTGGAGAGTACAACCTTCCAGGCATTACATGGCGATGTCGAGGAATTGAAACTTTCTATCATTTTCATGTTCCATAGTAAGTTCAATATTTGTATGTGCATCACTGAATAAACCGAGTAGGTAGGAAGCACGACTTTCATTGTTGCACACTACAAATGTGTTATCGAAAATTAGAAGTTGCTTCGTCAATTGTAGGCTTCAAATTTGTTCTCTCAAAGTTTGACATGAAGTTGTCGGCTAAAATAGAGCTAAATGAATTGGCCATAGCTACGCCATCTATTTGGAGGTAAAGAGGAGTGTTGTCAAACTGGAACTGTACACCTTTGGTACGCATTAACAGTAGGTGTTTAGATTCTGACACTGAGAGTGGGGGAAGATCAAAATGCTGACAAGTGATATGGACAGTTCCATTGTGATTGGGATCTTTGTGATCAAGGAGGTTACATGAACTTATGTAGAACGTTCATGTGGTTCAGGCTCTTGGTGAAATGAAATAAATTTTTCATGGTGCGCGCAGCTAGCTGCTGGCGAATGGGTTCCGATTTCTCTACAACCCAACGAACAACATTGTGCTAAGGTGAGTTGATCATAGAAAGTATAGGTCTCAGGGGGACATGTTTTTTGTGTTTTTGGTAGGCCATAAATGTAAGACAAACGGTACTCTTGGGGTTTTAAATCACTGTCAATCAATTTCTTCATGAAATCTCTCAAAACGTTTGAGATGCTGTTTTTTGAACTGCATCTGTCTTATCTTCCCGGCAGTCCTCTGCTTTAAACCTCAATGGGCCATTTAAAACAGTTCTCATCTTTGCAACGTATTCGTCTTTGTCCA